ACTATACCTTTGGCGAGCGAACCTCAGTTCTGGTTTTGCTTTATTGTATTTCATTTGATCTTCAGTAAATTATACCTTTGGTGCACGAACCTCAATTCTCACTTTGCTTCACTGTTAAACTATACCTTTGGTGCGCAAACCTCTGCTCTAGCTTTGCTTTATTTTATTTCACTTGACCTTCAGTAAACTATACCTTTAGCGTGCAAAGCTCTGTTCTGTCTTTGTTTTGTTGTATTTCACTTGACCATCATTAAACTATGCCTTTGGCACACAAACCTCTGTTCTGGCTTTGCTTTACTGCTAAACTGTAACTTTGGCACATGACTTTGGCACACAAACCTCTGTTCTGACTTTGCTTCACTGTTAAACTATACCTTCAGTAAACTATACCTTTGCCATGCGAATCTCAGTTCTGGCTTTGCTTTATTGTATTTCACTTGACCTTCAGTAAAGTATATGTTTGGTGTGTGATCCTTAGTTCTGACTTGGCCTTACTTTAAAACTATGCTCTTGGCGAGCGAACCTCAGTTCTAGCTTTACTTCACATGACCTTCAGTAAATTATACCTTTGGCCCGCGAACCTCATTCCTGTTTTTGCTTTTTTGTATTTCACTTGACCTTCAGTAAACTATACCTTTGGCGCACAAACCTCAGTTTTGTCTTTGCTTTACTGTTAAACTGTAACTTTGGCATGCAAACCTTAGTTCTGACTTTACTTCACTGTTAAACTATAGCTTTGGCATGCTAAGCTCAGTTCTGGCTTTTCTTGATGGTGAGACTATACGTTTGGTGAGCAAATCTCAGTTCTGGCTTTCTTTAACTGTATTTTTGTTGACCTTCAGTAAACTATACCTTTGGCCCGCGAACATCACTTCTGGCTTTCCTTTACTGTATTTCACTTGATATTCTGTAAAGTATACCTTTGGCGCACGAACCTCAGTTCTGGCTTTGCTTTACTGTTAAATTATACCTTTGGCTTGCGAACCTCAGTTCTGGCTTTCCTTTACTGTATTTCACTTGGCCTTCAGTAAGCTATACCTTTGCCATGCCAGCCTCTGTTCTGGCTTTGCTTTACTGTTAAACTATACCTGTGCCGCACAAGCCAATGTTTTAGCATTAATGTATTTCACTTGACCTTCAGTAAACTATTCCTTTGGCACACGAATCTCAGTTCTGACTTTGCTTTACTGTTAAACTATACTTTTGGCACGCTAACCTCAGTTTTGGATTTTCTTTACGGTTAGACTATACCTTTGGTGAGAAAACCTCAGTTCTGGCTTTGCTTTACTGTATTTCACTTGACCTTCAGTAAACTATACCTTTGGCTCACGAACCTCAGTTCTTACTTTGCTTTACAGTATTTGTCTTGACCTTCAGTAAACTGTACCATTGGCACGCAAATCTCAATTCTGGCTTTACTTTACAGTTAAACTATACCCTTGGGAAGTTTAACTGATTTCTGGTTTTGCTTTATTGTATTTCACTTGACCTTCAGTAAAGTATACCTTTGGCGCGCGAACCTCAGTTGTGACTTTGCTTTATTGTATTTCACTTGACCTTCAGTAAGCTATACCTTTGCCGCCCCAAGCTCTCTTCTGTCTTTGCTTTACTATTAAACTATACCTTTGGTGCGCAAACCTCTGTTCTGGCTTTGCTTTATTGTATTTCACTTGACCATCAGTAAACTATACCTTTGGTGCGCGAACCTCAGTTCTGTCTTTGCTTTACTGTATTTCACTTGACTTTCAGTAATCTATACCTTTGGCGCACAAACCTCTGTTCTGGCTTTGCTTTACTGTTACACTATACCTTTGGCGAGCGAACCTCAGTTCTGGTTTTGCTTTATTGTATTTCA